TACTGTCCCCGCCTACCCACATACCTATCTGTTCCTGTGTTTCAAACTCTTGTATTTCTGTACTACCCCTCCCCCTAATCAATGATCAATGGTATCAGATGGTATATTGTTTTTTTTTAGTTACTGGATGGGCCCCTCCCAGCTTTGTCCAAAATGTCCCCTTTTACTAAACTACAAACTGAAATGTTTAATTTACCTTAGAACTAAAGATTTAATCAAGCCTAGCTATCAGGGTGGACATTAATTAAAATAAGTAATAATAAAATAGGACATAATTAATTAAAGTCTATTTGTTTCATTTGACTTTAGGGAGGCACTCTAAGCCACCTACGGGCCATCTTTGGGAGTTACATTGATAATACATTGTTTATAACAGATAGAAGTAGGATTGCTTACGCTATTTTAATATATTTATTGCTATAAGGTTTTATTTTATGTATAAATATATTAAAAGTTGAGTTTTCTTATTAGACCCATAAAGATTATTTTGATACAATTACCCTCTGGTGACACCTACTGGCAGGTTTTTGGTTTAACACTTTAAACAAAAACGTTTTTTCATCCACCAAATGCTGACTAATAAAATTAGCTCACCCCCTTACACCTATCTTACTACTCCTAGACTGGAACCTATTATTGAGCAGCCTTGTCGAAGTCCCATATTAGATACTGCTTGAGTCAAATAGATTGTACACTCCTTTCAATCCTAAAGCCCCTGAAAACTTCCGAATGATAGACTCAGCATTTGTCAGCCAGGCCCAAGGTGATATTAAAAGGAAATTACAGAAATTAGAGGGATTTGTAGGGTTGTCCATATTATAGCTAATGGAGATTGCAAATACAGTATATATGAATAGGGAGATGGAGGAAGAACGTAAAATGAGGAAAAAGGCAGATATGCTAGCGGTAGCTATCTTAAGTGTAGAAAGACAGGGAAGTGAATAGAGGAGACGAGAATAGGCTGAGCAAGGGACTTTAAGTAGGAATTAATGTGCGTATTGTAGAAAGGAGGGACATTGGAAGAGTGAGTGTCCTCAGAGAGAGCAGTATGAAGGTGATAGACAAGGAGAGAGAAGGGTACGAGGAGGTTATAGTGGTAGTTATAGAGTAAGAGGAAGTTTTAGAGGGAATGATGGGAATAGTAGAGGAAGTGTTCAAGGAGACAGATACTATCTACCCACGTAGAGACCTAGAGAAAGAGAGGATAGAGATTTTGTGGGTCTGGCTGACACTATCATGGAAGACTATTGATACCGACCGGGCTCCATCCCACTTGGTCGAGCGGAGCCTATGGTCGATGTAGCAATAGGGGGGAAAGAGAAGTTCTTTCATGATCGACACAGGTGCTGAACATTCTGTGGTGACTAAGATGGTGGCTCCGCCTTCGGGGAAGACTATAACTGTGATAGGAGCTACTGGGAGAAGTGCAGCTAGACCGGTTCTTAAGAGTCGCACTTGTATTCTGGGAGGTCATGTGGTGAAGCATTAGTTCCTATATATGCCAGAGTGTCCGATTCAACTTTTAGGACGAGATCTATTATCGAAGCTTTAAGCTCAGATAACCTTTTACCTAATGGATCAACATCTCTGAAGTTTAAGGGATTACCAGGCATAATGGTGATATCGGTGCCAAGGGAAGAAGAATGACGCTTCTATTCCATAGTGACAAGTGTTAACCCTAAGAGTGATGAATCCTTACTTGACATTCCAGGAGTATGGGAAGAAAATAATCCTCCAGGACTTGCTCGTAATATCCCACCAATACATATTGAGTTAAAGCTCGGGGTGTATTCTGTTAGCCTTTGTATGTTGTTCTTTTATCTACCCCAATAGCTGTAAAGGTGGTGGAAGTGACTCCTTGGATTCATCATTCTAAGGTTAAACCAGCAGCAGACTCTTGGCAAGCTACTCCAGATCCTGAGAATCCTTGCAGGACCCGGTTGAAGCGTGCAACTCAGTCGGAGTGACGAGGGGATAGCGAGACATTCTAGTTAAAAGTCTACAAAGATCATCAAGTAGGTGTTTTGACGGCCATAATAAAGCCTGACCACCTGCATACGTGTCATAGCCAGAGTATCTTGAAGGGATCTCTGTGAAGGAAAGTGAGGATCAGAAGAACAACATCCTTGCAGCCCTCACAATCGGGAAGCTGAGAGGCCATTGCACGGTCGAAGAAAAATGAGGATTTCAGGAATAATGTGTTTTATTGTGTCTTAGTATTTTTATGATTTTTCAGGAAGGTAGGAGTACAGGCATACCGAATTGCGATAGTTGCATTAAGACTACTAAAACAGGTAACCAAATATCCCAAACTCTCATCTGGCACTCACAGTATGAATGTAAGGGATCTGTATCTAAATGTAGATATTTGGATATTGATTATAGTGTGTGCAAGCCAATATCAGGAGAGTCTAAATGTTTTGATCCCCATTTCCAACCCCATACAATTTGGTTGGTAATTCGGAATAGTAACTCCCAGGGGACATTAATAAATAGGACTGTGATAAGCACCATACATTCCACGGGTATTCTACTATTTGATGCATGTAAGGCGATTTCGGGTAGTGGAAGACTTTGGAATGTATGTGGTAATCTTAAATGGGAACGAACTTATGAGTTTAATGATAAATACTTATGTCCCAGTAAAAGATCTACTGATCCTGATTGCCCAAATAGAGACTAACTTCTGCCCCTATTTGTCATGTGTAGGTTGGGCAACCTGGGAAAAACAGTGGATCAAGATATGATTATCCAAAGGTTGCCTACCACACCATACTGTAAAACTATGTGTGTAACCTCGTTCACATGACCATTTCCAATCTGCAGTACTTTATTGACAGGTTTGGAGGTCTGTTTGGGTTCCAAATATATGGCACAGGAGTAAATTCAGGAACAATAATATATGTAGGTCTTGAAACTGAGACAGTGGCAACTCAAACTCATCAGGTTTCTCATTCCTTCTATGAGGAGATGAGTATTGAGGATAAAATTCTCCATAATGTTAACAACCTATTTATTGATTTGGCTGAGGGTATTGCAGGTAGTCTTAATGTAACTAATTGCTATGTGTGTGGAGGTACTAATATGGGAGACCAGTGGCCATGGGAGGCAAAGGAAATATGGTACCCTGGCTCTGAGACATATGAGCAACAGATACCTTTCCAGTCTGATCATCAAGTAAGTACTAGAAGTAAATTGGAATGGTGGTTAAAAACCTCCATTATAGGTCATGTTTGTATAGCCAGGAAAGGGACAATGTATAACACGTCTGTAGGTGAGCTAACTTGCTTGGGACAAAAAGCCTATAATGTTAATACTAAAAATACTACTTGGTGGTCAGCTTCAAATGTCTCGGAACCTACTAATCCATTTGCCAATTACACTCATTTAAGGGAGGTATGGTTTGACTTATCGGCTACATCTAGTTGGAAAGCCCCAGCAAATTTATACTGGATTTGTGGTAAGAAAACTTATTCGGAGTTACCACAAGATTGGGAAGGGGCATGTGTATTAGGTATGCCAAAGCCATCCTTCTTGTTGCCAATCGAAACAGGAGAGACCTTGGGAGTTAAGGTTTACGATGTAAATCATAAAAGGGAGAGAGCATCCTTGAATATAGGTAGCTGGGAAGATAATGAGTGGCCCCCTCAACGTATTATTAATTATTATGGACCTGCTACTTGGGCAGAAGATGGCACTTATGGATATAGAACTCCGATTATCTATGCTCAACCGCATTATTAGACTACAGGTGGTAGTTGAGATTATTACTAATGAGACAGCTCAAGTGCTTAATCTTCTAGCTAAGCAAAATACCAAGATGTGATCAGCCATATACCAGAATAGGCTAGCCTTTGATCAGGGCCGGTGCTTGGATTTTTAGGTACATAGGCGAAGATGCTTTTTTCCGCCCCCCTTCCCCCTCCCCCCCCAAAATCTTCACCTATGTGCCTCTTAACCAGCCCCTCTCTCCTCCCCGACCATTAGTGGTCCCTTCCGTTCCCTGTCCCTTAGTGTTCTTCTCCCCTCCCCCCTTTCCCCCTCCCCCCTTTTTTCCCTGTCTCTTGGTGTTTCTCTCCCATTCCCTCCCTGTCCCTTGGTGCACCCCCACCCCTTTAGTGGTCACACTTCCTGGTGTGTGCCTCCTACCTCTATTGTTGCATTGCCGAGCGGAGCAGATCCCCTAAAGGAGCTTCAGTTTTCTGTACCCGGACGGACTGACAGGGAGTGCTCTCTCTGTGAGCCCCTCCTGTCAGTCTGGCCAGGTACAGGAAACAGAAGCTCCTGTACCGCGCTCTGCTCCACTACACTCTGTACACACTGACAGTCACACACTCAATGACAAACACACAGACGCCACTGACAGACACAGACTCATTGATCTGACACACACTCATTCATTGACACTGACAGACCCACACTGATTGACACTCATTGACAGACACACTGATAGTCACACACAGACTCAATGACAAACATACTCTCACTGATTTGACAGACACACACTCATACACTGACAAACACACTCATCATACACTGACAGACACACTCATACACTCACATGCACACTCATACAATCACTCACAGACACACAGACAGTCACTCACTCACAAACACACACTGTCACTCACAGACACACACCGAAGCACACAGTCACTCACAGACACACACACACACACACTGTCACTCACAGACACACGCTCAGTCACTCAGACACACACACTCAGTCACTCAGACACACATGCTGTCACTCAGACACACATGCTGTCACTCACAGACACACGCTCAGTCACTTAGACACACACACTCATACAATCACTCACACACACACACACACTGTCACTCACAGACACACGCTCAGTCACTCAGACACACACATGCACACACACTCATACAATCACATGCACACACACTCATAAAATCACACACACACACTGTCACTCACAGACACACACGCTGTCACTCACAGACACACACAGAGATGCACACTGTCACTCACAGACACGCTGTCACTCACAGACACACACGCTGTCACTCACAGACACACACAGAGACGCACACAGTTATTCGTGGACACACACACTGTCACTCACAGACACACACAGACACACGCTCAGTCACTCACAGGCACACACACTGTCACTCACAGACACACACACTGTCACTCACAGACACACACAGAGACGCACACAGTCATTCATGGACACACACACTGTCACTCACAGACACACACAGACACACGCTCAGTCACTCACAGACACACACACGCTGTCACTCACAGACACACACACACAGACACACACACTGTCACTCACAGACACACACACTGTCACTCACAGACACACACACACACAGACACACATCACATACATTCACTAATAATTTTATAAATAAACATTTTCCACACAGCCTCCCTACCTGGAGAGCTGGTGTGGATGCTGGATCGGTCCCTGAGGGCTGGGGCTGCTGAGAGGCGCGCGGCAGTGCTGTGATCAGGCGCGCGAGGGAGCTCTAATCTCCATCCTCTGCTCCCTCGCGGGCTGCCTACTGATGACGCCATATTCCGGCTCCCGCGGCATCAGTAGGCAGCGCGCGAGGGAGCAGAGGGTGGAGATTAGAGCTCCCTCGCGCGCCTGATCACAGCACTGCGGCGCGCTGCGCCGGGGGTCGAGATGGTGGCCTGGCAGGAGGGAGAGCTTCCCTCCTGCCGGTCACTGAAATATTGCGCCCCCAGAGCCCGTGCGCCCTAAGGCGGCCGCCTGTGCCGCCTTATGGACGCGCCGGCCCTGCCTTTGATTACTTACTAGCAGTAGAAGGAGGTGTATGCGGAAAGTTTAATCTAAGTAACTGTTGTCTGCACATAGATGATGAAGGGCAGGCAGTGGCTGAACTTACAAGCCACATGGTTAAATTTGAGCATGTAGGTCTGGAATGGGTATAACCTAAGTAGTTGGTTTGGAAGTTGGTATGAGCAGCTTGGAGGAATTAAGACATTAGTAGGAGGAGTAGAATTTATTATATTTTTTTTGTGCTTCCTCCTGCCCTGTCTAATTCTACTAGTGGTAAGGTCCCTACGTAGTATTATAGAGAGTACTATAGAGAGAAAGACAGCGGCTCATGTAATGGCTGTCTGGAAGATATGATCCCCTAGCCCGAAGAGAATATATTCAGGATGAAGAATGTTGAAGGAGTTTTTAAGATGCTTACAAGGTCTACTCTGGTTCAATGGGTACTTGAGAGATGTAGGTAAAACTGTGATTGGTGATGCATCTGGAATAATGTTATATCAGAGGCATCAAAGGGGGGAATGTGATGGGATTCCAGCATGGTCAAAATTTAGTAGGCCAAAATCTCCATGTGGCATATGTGTATGTTGTGTCAGTTGGTTAGCTACATGTAGCTAGGATACTGTCATCAGTGTACTGAGCATGTGCAGGAATGCAGGAATTGAAATTGCACTTATTTCCTTTGTCTTGGATGAGCCATGTGGTTTGACTAGATGTACAAGTCTATATTCTGCTCATTGATTGGTTAAAGGTATATGTGGGTGTAGCTATTAATGGGAGGAGTTATAGTGTTATATAAGGAATGTACACTATGTGTTGGTCTCTCAGATCTTTTGGAACAGGAGTTCATCTGAGACCCGATCGGTAATGTGAATAAAGGCCTGTTACTTCCTGAAGACCTGTGTCCAATATTTCTGTGTTTGGCTTCTGCATGCTTACACTGCAACAGCCCCAGGTATAAAAGTGTGACCAATGTTTACAAATCAGACTGATTATAATTATTATGTTATTTATATAGCGCCATCAAATTCCGCAGCACTTTACAATGGGTGGACGAACAGACATGTAGTTGTAACCAGACAAGTTGGACACACAGGAGCAAAGGGGTTGAGGGCCCTGCTCAATGAGCTTACATGCTAGAGAGAGTGGGGTAAAATGACACAAAAAGGTAAGGATAGTATTAGACTAGTGACAGTTGCAGAAGAGGAATCAGTTGGGAGCTATTAACAGTTTAACTTTTATGAAGATGTGGGTTTTTAACGATATTTTTGGACTGTAATGGCGCTAGTTGGGAGCACGTAAGACCACTTAGAAGCCGATTACAGTAGTCAAGGCGAGAAAGGACAGTGGAATGGACCAGCAACTTAGTCGCATCTGGCGTTAAGTAGGGTTAATACTGTAATCAGTACTGTAAGAGTTAAAACAATTAGATTTAAAAAAAATATATATATATATTTTCACCCTTTTAAAACCTTTTAAATCACACAAAATATCAATGATCTCTCTGCCTCTCTCGCCTTTAGACTGTTAGCTTATTTGTATTTAATACAATGTAATAAGATATTTTCTCAGATATTTTCTCACTATTATATGAAGAATCATAATATATATATATATATTATTTCCACATTTGTACTTTACAATGAGTGATTGATTTTGGCATCAATGTTAAATTCCCATATCCCAATTTAAACCCTATGTAGCCAGGCTGCATAAATCTTGCTCCAGTTGAGAAAGCCACATCGGCTAAACGCATTATTAGATGTTTTTGCTTTGTACTGCAATAAAGGAATCCTTTTTGGATAACTACATCTAGGTTTGTGCCAATTTCCTTTATATTATTTTCTTTTATATTTTTTACCTGACTTTTTTATCACCATTCTCAAGAAATCCGAGGTGGGGATCATACCACCAGAGCCGATACCACAGAGCAGTCAGCCTGCTCTATGCTGTGTGAGTATATTATATGCCTACCTACCTTTATTGTCATTTGAGCTTCAAGTAACCCAAAGATTGAAGATATCAACACTATATCCTGAAGTGAGGATTGTACCACTAAAAGCCCTAGACGCTAGAGCTGGCCATTGCTCTGCCGAATGTAAGTGCATTATTATTATTCCACTATCATCACTTTATATGAGACATATTGCACTATTTTGTCCTCTCTCATCTTCTCTCCATTTTATATGACCAAATACCGGAGAGACTGTCTACAAGTACTATTCCCAAGCCTCAGTCCACACCTGCCACTGAATATACCATAAAGACACCATTTGGTGTGAAACAAAAGTTTCTTTCCAACAGTGACTAAAACCCAGCTATTCCTTGTGGTGCAGCCCCTATTTTTATTTT